CCTTTCCCTCCAAGGGGATGGTCATGCTGCAATCCCTTCTCCTCCATTCTCCTTCTGGGATCTTGGGCCCACACCTGGGTTGGCCATATGGGGTCCAGCACCTTAACCACCTGCTACCTGTTGCCACGCCCCCCCCATTCTTAATTCTTCAAAGTTAGCGTTAATATTGATGAATAAGCTCCACTCAAATTCAAATGTTTACACTGTCAGACAAAAAGGAATCAGCTTGTGCTGAGAAAAAAATACGTTTAAAAAAATCATTATAAAAGTTCCCCCACACAACAAACTTCTAGAATGTATAGAAATTTAGAAAGGAGATGGGAAGGGGGAAAAAAAAAAACTCAACATTTTCATTTATTGTAGTCAAAAACTCTTTGACCTTTTGTTATAAGACCTTCCCATTACCCCTAAAGTTTTAGTTTTGTGGGTTTTTTAATTTTTTAAAGGTGTAATGTTTTCTTTGTGATAGGGGTTGTCAGGCTCTGCCCCTGGCAGCCTCCAGCAAGCAAATTCCTCTCTAAGGTAACCGGGCCATTATATCATGAATAGTAAAACAGCAGAGATTCTGAATTTTGGCAAACATTCCTTTTATTCCAACGTAACAACTAAGGCCAGAGTACTTTCAGCATCTTCGAGCCTGGCTCCTTATCCGTAAATCCCAGTCCTATCAGGACTAACGGAGTTGGCGTATGGAAAGCGTTTTTCCAGAGGTCTGGGCAGCTGGCAGCTTTAGAGAACTGAGGGTGCCGGGGTGAAGTAGCGCAGGGTCAGGAGACTGCAGGCGACTCATTTCCCCCAAAGTCTTACCCTTCCAGCCCTCGAAAACTAGCTTTAGCTCTCTCCCAGGGTTCCTGCAGAAATCCACTTCCTACCTCCCCGGAGGAGCGACCAAGAACTTTTTATTTTAAAGTCCTACCAGGCGATTCTGCACGCCCACTGGAAGGAGAAGCAGCAAAGTGATGCGCCCCGCTCCTAGCTGCTGTGCGGCCCCTTTAAGAGGCTCTACCCTTCGCCCGCCTCCCGTCCCCGCCTTGTCCGAGGCGGAACCGGAAGTCGGGGGGGAAGTGCCGGTCCCCAACATGGCGGCCGCCTGGCCTTCCAGGCCGGCTTCTCCAGAAACCATGGCTGTCCAAGTCCTCGGTGTCCTGTGGTTTATGTCATTCACCACGGGACCTTGGGAGGCCGCCACCGGGGGCGAGACGCTTAAGTGCGAGGACCTCAAAATGGGACAATATCCTCTGTGGGCAGCCCCCCTTGTGGAAGCGAGGTAGATTTGGGGTGCGACCCTCAGCACCGGGTGGACTGTATTTAAGAGAGACCTGCGTGTGGCCTCTAATGACCTAGGGGCCTGGGAGTGAAGACGGGTGCGGGGATGGGAGGGACAGAGGCCACCCTGTGTGATTGACTTGTTCAGGATTTTCCTAGTCATCCGCGCCCCGGATATGATCCACCTTTTTCAAACCGGTGTAGGGTCAGCAGAACCGGTGTACACTTGCAGGTGTATCTTCTACCGTCCTCATATTCCTTGAAATGCTAGACTGCCAGGGATCGAATTCCTTCTCCAGTTCTTAATCTTGGAAAGTTATTAGAACTCCCTTTTCTCATGATTGAGAATGTGGTTAACAATGTGGCAGTGACTTAAAGTGATTAACAACTTAAAATGGTTTACAAGGTGGCAGTGGCTTCAAGGTCTGTCGTGATATTTGAATTACTAGGTAAGACACTTGGAGGAGTGCCTGGCGTAGTGGAGGCTATATGTATTAGCTAGTTATTTACAGATAAGGAAACCGAGGCCGAGATGGATCTCATTATTATCACAGCTTCAAAATTAATGAAAAAAAAAAAGATGAGATAGTTACATTCAAGTTATAATGACTACTTTTGTACAAAATCAGATACTATTTTATACAAACTATTGTAGAATAGAAAACATAATAACAAAACCCAGAGATATGGTGGTTAAGGTGGCTTGATCCCACATGACTGGCTGCTTGGTTCAAGTCCTGGACCTGGTGGTTTGACCTGGACCTGTGGTCACCAGGGCCTGGAATGTAGGGAGAGGTGGAGGAGAGGGGTTTGTAGCATGACCATGCCTTCATGGGAGTGATCTCTCTCTCCTGCTCTCTTTCTCTCCAGTGATTGCACATACCCTGTGGTGAAAAAAATTATTTTAGTGTTCGTATGAGTTGGTGAAAAGCAGCCATTAGATTTTAAATTAGATTTTAATAGAATAGCTCTAACTTGCTTGGAGTTTAACAATCACCAAACTGGTCGGACCTTTTCTTGGCAATGACGTGAGGGCCAGCTGCAGCTGTAGTAGTGGGCACTGGACACTGCTGCTCAGCAGGCTGAGACCACATAGAAAGACCTGGGCTCCTTTACAGGCCAACCAAATTAAGAAAGCTGAGTGTGTTGGTGCTGCCCTGTAGCCTACCCTAGGGGGAGGCTGAGGCAGAAGGAGCCACTCATGGTCAGCATGGGCAGCATAATGAGACCCTACTTCAAAGAGCTAGGTGTGATAGTGTGGGCCTTTAGTCCCATCTGCTCAGAACACTGGGGTGAGAGACTCCAACTGATTGAAAACTTGTCTAAAAACCACGTACTCTCATACGCATGTGCTCTCTCCTCGTCTCTGCCTCTGTCTCTCTCTGTCATACACACACAAACAGCAAAGAGAAAATGGTCAAGATGCATCTAAGAAAACTGTGCAGTATGAAGAGTTGAACCCTAGAGAGAAGTGACTGAGTATATATGATTATGAGGTACTAACAACAGGAAAATGTGTAGTTATATCTAACATAAAGATGAGGTTTCCAGGGGGTTCCCACAACCCAGTGGTTAAGAGGGGTAAGGAGCCAGATCTCACAAGGCTGACCATAGTTGGAATTCTAGTGTTAGAGACTTGAAAAATTGCTGGGCTTATATGCCTGCCTGTCCCAGATCCCTACAGAATGGAAAAATGGAGGAAAAGGGATTGTGGCATACTTCCCACCCTGCCTCTGGTAAGTGCACATGCCTTCTAGAAATGAAAAAAGATGAGGTTTCCCATAGTAATTGGGAAACCTTAAGCAGGGGTCAGGCTATCACTAGAGACATCCTGTGACTACTACATCTCCCCAGTTGTAATGTAGACAAAATATTTAGGATACAGAATTCCCATTTCCTAAATGTTTTGAACATTTATTAGAGAAGGATTATTTGTTTTGTTTTTAAGAGACAGGGTCTTGCTGTGTTGCCCAGGTTGGTCTCAAACTCATGATCCTCTGTTTTACCTCCTAAGTAACTGGGGCTACAGGAATCTGCCTCCACTCCTGGATATAAAAGAAGGATTATTATACCTGTTTTCAAAAACTTAAAATTCTTTGGAGGTGACCACACAGGAAATAGTCATCCTCTCTGCAGCCCTGATGGAAATGATCATAGGCTTGGAATCCGGAAATGTGCTTTACAAGACTGGATAAGCCACTGAAACTGTGAACCTCAGTTTGTACTTCTGTGGTGCAGGAATAATAGTAGCTACCTCACAGGGTTATTTGTGTTACATGAAATTATGTATATGTAACATTGGAGGGTCCATAAATTAGCTCAGTCTAAATACCTTGAAATTGTTTTTAGCTTGAAGCTCTCTCATAGTAATTTCGTAAGGATATTATTTTTAAGTGATTTTTAAAAAAGAATTATATATTATCATTATTTTTCAATTTTGATCAGAGAGAGCAAGTCACCAGGTCTGGGATTCTAACTGCCACATGGCAGTCCAGTATACCACACTACCTGCCGGCCATGGTAGAGATATTATTTTAATTTTTGCTTTGTGCTTATAGCTCATCTGATCTTTTTATTTATTTATTTATTTTTTGAGAGTTTTTTGCTATAGGGCACATGCGCTCACCAGAAAGAGAGAGACAGAAAGCGAGAAATCACGCCCCCAAGGGGGACGGCCACGCCAAAATCCCTTCTCCTCCACTCTCCTCTCAGGATCTTGGGCACGCATGTACACGTGCCCTGCGTGAGTCCAAGCCACCGGGTCCGGGACTCGAACCGTGGTCGACTGCATGGGAATCCAGTGACATAGCCACCACGTTAACTGCTGATCTCTCATCTGATCTTTTAAATGGCTTCTTCTGCTAGAGCTTTAATGTGTATTAAGTTAATGTACTTTCCCTGTAATCAGTTAATATTTAGGTCTTATTTAGCAGTATTAGAAGTATGTTTGTGTGTGTGTTGATTTGTGCACGCTGGCAGCCTCTCTTCCCATGTGACTTATCAACATGATTATATGATATGAGATATTAAAGAAATAATGTTTTGTGTTTCATATTTCCTTAACTTTTTAAACATATATTTGTAAAGATCCAAAAATAAATGATGCTACACAAGAACCAGTTAACTGTACAAACTACACAGCTCACGGTAAGACTTCCAAAAACATGACTTTAAAAATAATTATTTTAGAAGAATTATTTTATTTAACTTTATTTATTTTAATTTGATCAGAGAGGGATCGAGAGAGAGAGAGAGAGAGAGAGAGAGAGAGGAAATGAGAAAACAAGCCACCAAGTCCAGGACTTGAACTGCAGTTGGCCATCTGGGAGTTCAGTGCCCTTAACCACCATACCACTTATGGCTCCTTTAAAAATATTTTTTAAAACATTTGAGCAATGTATTATCACTAATGGCACTTAATAAATGTGTTTCTTTCTAAAGTTATAGTAGTAGTATTCAGTTTGTGGAACAACTTAAAAATTGGAGAACTGGCTAGGGGCTATCAGCGTTTAAGTTAAAAAAAGCGGGCTGGTCCCTTGCTGCATGAGTAGGCATTATGAAGAAGACACTGGAATCCACACTGGGGTTTGAGTTCTGGGCACTGTGGCTTGAAAAACACTCCAGGCACCTGTGTATGTGTGCCCAGAATCCCAAGAGGAATGTGGAAGAGAAGACATTACAGCATAGCAGCCTCCCTGGGGGGATGATTCTTCTCTGTCTCTCTCCCTGGCAAATGTATGCACCCTATAGCAAACTTTGAAGGGGAAAAAAAAAATACAGGAAAGAAAAACATGCCTGGAACTTGGATGTGTCAAGGTATAGAGAATTAGAAAGAGGGGAATTGTATTGTGACAGGACCCTGTGGGGGATAGTTTCCTCCTCTTTTTTTCCCTCTCTTTCAAAAAAGATGAGTACAGTCAGCTTATCTCTATTATTATTATTTTTTAATTGAAAAAAGGGAATAGGGTCCAGCAGATGGTGTAGTGTTTGCATCACTGGACTCCCACTTGGCTGACTGCAGTTTGAATCTCAGACCCAGTGATTTGAAACTCACACCGGGTTCATGTGCGTGCATGCTAAGGATCCTGGGAGGAGAATGGAGGAGAAGGGATTGCTGCTTGGCCACCGTCCTGGGGGGCGATTTCTCACTTTCCCTCTCACTGTCTTTGTCTGTGTCTCTCTCTCCCCGGTGAGTGCACGTGCTCCTAGGGGAAAAAAGAAGGAAATCTTACTGCCAATTATATAAACACGTTTTTAAAATATTTTTTTAATCTTTAGGATCAGTTTGTATATTGGGTTGTCAGAAAAGTCATGGCGCATTTTCGCATAGAAAAACAGAAGAAATACATCATGACTTTTCCGATAACCCGGTAGCTTTTTTGCTGCTTTTTATTTTCCAAGCTGTGTTATGCAGAGATGCTTCTTTTGTTAGGCTTTGTAATTACTGACTACTTGAAAAAGAACTTGAAATCAGACTGGTAGTCCAATAAGGTACACTGAGGCACTATATCACCCATGTTACATACTTGCAAAATGTACTTAAGTGCACCCTAACTATGAAAGTAGTACGGTAAGGATTTTACATGTGCACCAGTATTTTCTTAAAGTGATGTTTCGGTAATGGTTAACATCCTTAGCCATGGGGGAAGCTTCTGTTATTTTAAAATATGTGTAATGCCAGATAAAAATTAATAAATTGCTCTCTTTTTATTCTTTTCTTCTGAAGGGGCCCCAGGGTGAGGCAGATAAGGTATCCTGAACCCATTTAGTGCACTTGTTTGCCATAGTACATGGTAGCAATTGACTAGTAGTATTCTGAAGGGGAAAAAAAAAAATATTGAATATATACTGATTTTTAAATGTATTGGACAGGAAATAAGCTGATATTAGATTTTTAAAATCTTTAAGTGAAAACTATTCTTAAACAGATTGTAAATGAGATGAAGAGCATTATGTTTGTTACACAGAAAAACCTTTTCCAGTTTTTCAAAAGTAGCATACAAATAACTGACCTCTTGATTATAAATGTGTGTGTGTGTGTGTATTTTCAAGAATTATTTAATTTTATTATTATTTTAAAATTTGCTATAGGGCACAGAGAGAGAGACAGAAAAAGAGAGGGAAAGTGAGAAAGCAAGCCACCAGGTTCAGGATTCAAACCATGTTTAGCCATGTGAGAGTCCAGCACCTTAACCAATGTGTGTGTGTGTGTGTGTGTGTGTGTATGTGTGTATGTGTGTATGTGTGTATGTGTGTATGTGCGTATGTGTGTATGTGTGTCTTGGAATTTTGGGCACACATGCATATGGGCCTGGTGTGATTTTCAGTCTGTCAGGTCTGGGATTTGAACCGCAGTCAGCCATGTGGGAGTCCAGCATCTTAACTACCATGTCACCACCTGATCCCCTGATTCGTGTGTGTGTGTGTGTGTGTGTGTGTATGTATATATTTATGTATATATATAAATGTATATTGTATATGCATGTGTAAATATATGTATATATGTACATTTTTAAGAGACATTTTTTGCTATAGGGTGTGTGCACTTACTATAGAGACAGAGAGAGACAGACAAAATGCTAGAATCTACTCCCCAAGAGGGAGGCCATGCCACAATACCCTCTCTTCCATTCTCCTCTTAGGATTTTGAGCATGCAGGCATACATGGCAGGTTTTATTATTATTATTTTTTGGAGAGGTTTTCGCTATAGGGCACGTGCGCTCTCCAGACAGAGAGAGACAGAGAGACAGAAAGCAAGAAATCACCCCCCAGGGGGAAATGGTCATGCCACAATCCCTTCTCTTCCATTCTCCTCTTGGGATCTTGGGCACGCACGCACACGCACCCAGCGTGAGTTTTAAGCCACCAGGTCCGGGACGCTAACCGCGGTCGACTACGTGGGAATCCAGCGACATAGCCATTATGCTAACTGCTGGTTCCCTATGGCAGGTTTTAAGTCGCCAGGTCCAGGACTTGAACTGTGGTCAACTATGTGTGAGTCCAGTGACATAACCCTTACTCCATCTACTTGTTCTTGATTCATGTATATTTTATTTCATTATTTTTTTAAAGAATTATTTTTAAATGAATTAATTAATTTTATTTATTTATTTAAATTTGACCAGAGTAGATCTCAACAGCATCTACCCCAAGTCTCAACCAGTTCATATATACTAGTGTACTCAGAAAGGTTCTGGGACATGAACCCTGGGCTTTCCCATGTAGGTACTGATGCATTACCACTGCACCACTGCCAGACCCAAGAGCTATTTTAATACTGAAAATGTGAATATGGGGTTTGCTCTACCTAACTTAATCTCTAGCTTTTGTTTTCACCTGAATTCCTAGATAGATGCATTTAATTATATAGTATAACCAGCATTGTATGGAGTAAGACTAGGGTCCAAAGGCACAGTGTTAACTAGAATAGGATTCCAAGCCACTTACTTCCTAGGGTAGTCTTTTTTATTGTTATTAAACTTGTATTTCTAGTTTATCATTAGTGCATTCAAAAATCAGTGCTGCTTTTTTGGCTGAGAAATACATATAGTGTATTAATTGGCTTGAATTGATGCTATCAAAATCCTAAACATTGACCAGAACCAAATCTTTTTGTAAGAAAATTGCAAATTAGGGGCCAGCAAATTGGCGTGGTAGTTAAGGTGTTGTATCCCACATAGTCGACTTCTTGGCAGTTTGAAAAACAGACCAGGTGCATGTGTGCCCAAAATCTCGAAAAGAGAATAGAGGAGAAGGGATTGCTGCATGGCCATATCCCCCTGGGCAATGATTTCTCACTTTCCCTCTCTCTCTGTCTCTTGGGGGAGCACACACACCTTATAGCAAAAAACTAGAAAGAAAAGAAAACTGCAGATTAAATCGTTCTTAGGCTGGAAGCATATTGCTTCATTTTATCTACTAGTTAGCATTTATTGGTAACTGGCTTCTTTATTCTTGCCATATTGATTTATTTTGGCTTTATTGCTGAAGTAAGTGTTAACATGGAATTGTCATAGTATAATGGAAAAGGTATTGATTAAAAGTAATGAATGTTAGTCTAGGACTTACTGAATATTACCTGTTTATGAGACTTTGGTCAATTCATTTAATTTCTTGGAACCTCAATTTTCTTGTTTATAAGGGGAAAAAAAGAAAAGGGATTAAAAAAAACCAGTTCGGCTTCCTTAACAGGTTTTTCTTTTTATAAGGATAAATGTAATCATTATTAAATGTGATGTGGTGGTTAAGGCAGCTGGATCCACATGGCTAACTGTGGTTTGAGTACTGGACCTGGTGGCTTGACAAAACAGGCCAGGCACATGTACATGCTCAATATCTTGAGAGGAGAATGGAGAAGGGATTGTGGCATAGTCATCCCCCCTGAGGGTGCTTGCTTGCTTACTGTCTTTCTCAGTTTCTGTGCAGTGTGCCCCATTGAAAAAAAAAATTATTTATATCACAATAGCTATATAAAGCTTTTTACCTTAACTACCAGGAATCTCTTGAGCCAAATTTGTGGTTCATTTCTAGTGTCTTCTCTTAGCCTCATTTCCTACTACGTTTATTTCTTCACTTTCCCTCTCTTTCATTTTATTTAAATAGTTCTAATTGTATTGAATCTGTGCCATTTTATGTTAATTACCACTGTATTTTAGAAACTTAAATGCATTATATAAATAAGTAACATTTATGGGATGGGATAGTATCATTTGAACTATCAATACCCAACAAATAGGCCAGAAGCCATTACAGGTTTTTTTCTGTTGGTTTACTTTCTTAGTGCATTCTGGCCTGAAAGAAAAAAGACAATGATTTATTGGAAGTCTTCAGATAATTGTAAACTGACAGAAAATACTATCTTTTTCTCATAATAAAAAACACTGAGGTCTCAGTATTTTTACTTAGATTGTAAATACATATATAATATAGCTCTTCTTATTTACATTAAAGCCTTAAGTCAGATGTTATATTGGGATGAAGTTTGTTATAACATTGTATTTTCTTGTATGCTTAGGTAGTCTTAGAAAAAACAAATATACTGTCTACCAAAAAACGCCATGTTTTCTTGACTTTTTCTGCCTTCAGTTTCATGTTTCTCAGCACCCAACATAACCTGTAAGGATTTAAGTGGCAACGAAACACATTTTACTGGAAATGAAGTTGGTTTTCTCAAACCCATATCTTGCCGAAATGTGTAAGTACATTATTGAAACTTAAATTTTCTGATCACTTGCCTGTTTTATCTTGATTACGTGGAGTGAAGAGAGAGCGATCATTCATAGGGAAAGTCCTACAGTATCTTTCATCTGTTTGCTTGTGTCAGAAAACCTTTCTTTAAAGTATGCTTTTTTTGGTTGTTTTTTGCTTATAAATACAACTCACCAACCAAATAGAGCTGAGTAGTGCACTGTATGGGAAAATAAAGATGCCTCATGTTGTGTCAATTCAGGTTAGTCAGTTTATGCCACCTAGTGAATTATGAAAAACTTTCGTTTTCGGGGACCAGCAGATGGTGTAATGGTTATATCACTGGATTCCCATGTAGTCAAGTGCTGTTTGAGTCCTGGACTTGGAGGCTTAAAACTCATACTGAATGCACATGCGTGCATGCCCAGAATTCTGAGAGGATAATGGGGCAGAAGGGATTGTGGGGTGGCCATCCACCCTATGGTTGATTTCTCTCTGTTTCTCTCTGTCTCTCTGGTTAGTGCATGTGCCTTATAGCAAAAATCTCTCTGAAAAAAAAATTGTTTTCATAATGTGGGAAATCTCTAGAGTACAAATAGGAATTATGTACCTTTTGTATCAGAAAAATGCAAAATAAATATGGTTAATTGTTTGCACATTAAGGGCACTTTGTGAAACTTGGTTTCATTCTTTGTAATAGATTAGATGGTGAATGGTATTGCTTAACAGAATTTAAAAGTTAGTTTGGGATAGTAAGGCAAATGCTTTATTTTGTTAGGAATATTCTGTATTTTGGGACCAGTGGATGGCGTAATGGTTGTGTCACTGGACTCCCACATAGTCGACTGCAGTTCGAATCCTGGACCTAGCGGCTTAAAGCTCATACTGGGTGCGTGTGCATGCATGCCCAAAAGCCCGAGAGGAGAATGGAGGAGAAGGGATTGCAGTGTGGCCATCCCCTCTGGGGGGGTGATTTCTCGCTCTGTCTGTCTATCCAGCAAGCACACTCGCCCTATAGCAAAATTTTCTTAAAAAAAATCTGTATTTAAAGGATTTTCAAGTTTGATATTTCATTTTTTTTTAAAGCTTACTTATTTCTTAAGACAGAAGGAGAGATAAGCAGGCAACCCCTGCAGGATTCCATCGTGCCACAATCCCCCTGACCCCACCTCAGCTCCAAGCCCTCCAGTCAGCCAGGATCATGGGTGCATGAATGTGAGCCCATCCAGCATGTTTCAGGTGACCCAGGATCCAAACTGTGTTTGAACCAGCCAAGGCCAGCTGAACTACAGTAGCCTATAGTCTACCAGTGAAAGAAAAATAGCTTATTGTTGTAAGCCACTGAGTTTTTTTGGGTGGTTCGTTATATAATATCATTATGGCAATAGCTGATGAATGCTCTCCTACAGTCTATTTCCAGGACAGCTGCCACAAGGATGAGTTTAAAACCTAAATCAGATCATGTCACACCTTTATTTAAACTCCTGCAGTAGTGTCCCATTTCTCTTAGCGTAAAAGAGTATTTACAGTCGTGTACAGGCATCACTTGACCTGCTGCTTACAGCCAGTATTCCTTCTGCCTGCATCTCTAAGACTCTTCCCTCCTCTCACTTTACTCCTGCTCCACTGGCCTTCCTCATAGACCTCAAACATGCCAGATTCGCTGCCTTTGTACCAGCTGTTTCTTTTGCCTGGGACATTTCCCTCAGAAGCACAGCATGGCTAACTGACTTCTCTCAAGTTTTGCTCAATAGTCACTTTCTAAATGAGGCCTACTCTTATTATGCCACTTGAATGGCTCCTGGCATTCTGGCTTCTCTACATGCCTTACACTTCTTTTGTCATAACATTAATGACCTTTTATTATTCTTTAAAAAGTTTTATTTATTTACTTATTTAATTCCATTTATTATTATTTTATGAATCACTTTATTCAACTTTATTTATTCATTCATTTATTTTAATTTGACCAGAGAGGGACAGAGTGAGAAAGGGAGGGAAAGTGAGAAGGCAAGCCACCAGGTCCAGGACTTGAACCACAGTCGGCCATGTGGGAATCCAACACCCTTAACCCCCACATCACCTGCTGACCCCTATTATTATTTTTTAATTTTACCAGAGTGAGACTGAGAAAAATAAAGGAAAGCGAGAAAGCAAGCAGCCAAGTCCAGGCTTCGAACTGCTGTCGACCCTGTAGGAATCCAGCATCATTAATCACCACACCACCTACTGGCCCCACATTGACTATTTTTTTTTTTTTTTTGAGAGTTTTTTTGCTACAGGGTGCGTGCGCTCTCCAGAAAGACAGAGAGAGACAGAGAGACAGAAAGCGACAAATCACCCCCCAGGGGGGATGGCCACGCCTCAATCCCTTCTCTTCCATTCTCCTCTCGGGATCTTGGGCACACATGCACATGCTCCCAGCATGAGTTTAAGCCACCGGGCCCGGGACTTGAACTGTAGTCAACTACATGGGAGTTCAGCGACATAGCCATTATGCTAACTGCTGGTCCCAAACATAGTATATGATTTACTTCTTTAGGGGCTGGCAGGTGGTGTGGTGGTTAAGGGCACTAGACTCCCACATGGCTGACCATGGTTTGAGTCCCAGACCTGGCAGCTTGCTTTCTCACTTTATCTCTCTCTCTGTCTTTCTCTGGTCAAATTAAAATAATAATAATAATAAAAATAATAACAAATAAGGTAAAAATAAATAATTCTTTAATATATTTATATTTATTGCCAGTACTACTAGATTGTAAGGTCCTCAGGGATCATTGTTGCTTTGCTAATATATCCCAGAATAGTGCTTGGCACATAGTAGGTACCCCCAAAAACATTAATTGAATGAACAAATAAATCAATTAACAAATAAGTAGTAGTTAACAATTTTGTTTTCTAGCATGTTCACATGTTGGAAATACATGAATATGACATGGGTTTTAATTTTTTCAGAAATGGCTATTCATACAAAGTGGCAGGTGCATTGTCTCTTTTTCTTGGATGGCTGGGAGCAGATCGGTTTTACCTTGGATACCCTGCCTTGGGTGAGTATGTTTTATTAGAAAGAAAAACAAACTTGTAAAACTTGTATTCTAATTAGTTATACATATTCTTATATATTAAATCTCTACATGTTTTTACTATTACAAGTTACATGTAATTAGAATTAAACAGTTAACATTTGTCACGAGTACAGAGCCACCAGTTAGCTGTACAATTCAAGTTAGGTAAGAAACATTGGGTTGTCAGGAAAGTCATGACGTTTTTAATGCAAAAATGCCTCGTGACTTTCCCATCCACCCAATAATGACTTTCCCTGCATTTTTACCTTTATGAAATCATGCACCCAAGATCGTGTAGGTGGGTAGACTGGAACTGTCATTGCTAGTACTGAGCACACAGTGGACATTCAGTAAATGTTTTATGTATAAGTGCTTTTATTCTTACACATTTTTTTCCCTTCTTCCTAAACCTCTATCACTGTTGCTCTGAGTGTAGAATTTTTTCAGGACAGCTTCAGGTTGAAACTTTGCCTATCAACATGAGCTAACTGGGAGCCTGACTCTTCTGCCCATAGCACCCACTCCATCCCCTCCTCCTAGCTTTAATCTTCACATTTGCCATAGTTACTGATGCTTAAGACTATTTACATTTGGACTATAGCTTCTGTTTAAACAATATTTTCAAATGCATCCCCTTATTTAAGCCTTACAACACTCTGAGTTTATCATCCCCTTCAAATCCTCTTTAACAGGTAGGGAAACTATTGAATATCACCAGAGAGGTTAAGGGATTTACTGATTCTAGACGCCTGCTTTATTCTCGGACACATTTGTTGTTATCATCTTTGTCTTATGGATAGGAAAATCACCATGAGATTAAGAGATTTACCCAAGGACACTCAGCTAGTGACCTCAATTTGAACCCAAATTTTCTGGCTCCATAGATCATACTTTATTTACTGTAGTATTCTGCTTCTACATTAGCTCTTCATCGAGCAAATTTAGTTTTTGAATGCTCTGCTTTCTAGCTAGCAAAGCTAAATTCATTTCTTCTGTGTTGTTAGATGTGGCATTGGTGGGAGATATGCTTCTGATCGCCATACCTAAAACTCAGTGTTATAAGTTCATAAATAAAAGTCTAAGTTTAAAGTTTATTTTATTCATGATTGCAAGCATGTACATGAACATGAGAGAGGGGAGGGAGGCACCCTTGGTAGGATTTCATCACACTGCTCTTCCTTCTCCTAGCCCTCCAGCTTATTAGGATCTTGGGTGAGTGCCCAGTATATTTCAAGTCCATCACACCAGAGATTCAAACCCTTGGTCAGCCTTGTAGCTTCTGGCACCGCATTTCATTATGCTACTCCCTGTACTACCAAGACTCACCAATGAAAGTCAGAGTTTGAAGTACTATGTACACAGTTTTTTTTTTTTTAAAGAATTATTTATTTTTAATTTTATTTATTCATTTATTTAAAAACTTTTTTTGACTAGACACACAGAGAGAGAGAGAAAGAGAGAGAGAGAGCAAGCGAGCCACCAAGTCCAGGACTGTGGTTGGCCATGTGGGAGCGTCCATTGCCTTAACCACCACACCATCTGTTGGTTCCCCTTTATTTTTAATTTAATTTATTCATTCATTTAAAAAATTTTATATACACAGTTAACAAATATTTATTCAGGACCAAATGGCGGCCTAGTGGTTAAGGCAGCTGAATCCCCCGTGACTGACTGCGTGATATGAGTCTCTGACACAGGGACTTGAAAAATACTTCAGACACCCATGTGTGCATGCCCCAAACCTAGAAATGGGGGCAAAATGGAGGAGAAGGGGTTGTGGCATGGCCATTCCATACCTTTCTCTTTTTTCCTCTTTCTCTCTCCAGTGAGTGCATGTACCCTCTGACAAATGACAAAAAAAGAAACAAAAAAAAGCAAACATTTACTCAACATTTAAGTAAGTACTAGTGAAGTAATATGAAGATCATAGTGTGTATTGGTTAAAAAGAAAGTAAATACGAAATGGAGTAAGCTTCCTGGTAGGTAACTTATAGCACTATACCAGGACCATAACAGAGTGCTGTGAAAGCACCAAAAAGGGACTAATTCAGTTGTGATATAAAGGAAGACTTTTTAGATGCCTTGTCTTTTGAGCTGGGTTTTGAAGAATGACAAGATTACAAAGATTTAAGACAGGACAGGGTATAGCATGTGCCAAGGCACAGAGTGGGAAAGAGCAGCATGTACGTTGAGAGGAGATGATTTCACCTACGGTGCAGGATGAACTATGGCAGGAGGAGAAACTGACTGGAGAGGTAGGTGGTCAGTGGTCAGGTCAGAAAAGGCTTTGCATGTCTTGCTATGGAGTTTGGATTTTACCTTGAAACATCAGAAGCAATAAAAGTTTTTCTTTTAGAGAGAGATTTTTCTTATGGGCACATGTGTTTATGTGCACACAAGAGAGAGACAGAAAGTGAGAAATCACCCCGCCCCCCCCCCCCCGGGGGGGGGGGCCATCATCAACATTTGTCACGAGTACAGAGCCACCAGTTAGCTGTACAATTCAAGTTAGGTAAGAAACATTGGGTTGTCAGGAAAGTCATGACGTTTTTAATGCAAAAATGCCTCGTGACTTTCCCATCCACCCAATAATGACTTTCCCTGCATTTTTACCTTTATGAAATCATGCACCCAAGATCGTGTAGGTGGGTAGACTGGAACTGTCATTGCTAGTACTGAGCACACAGTGGACATTCAGTAAATGTTTTATGTATAAGTGCTTTTATTCTTACACATTTTTTTCCCTTCTTCCTAAACCTCTATCACTGTTGCTCTGAGTGTAGAATTTTTTCAGGACAGCTTCAGGTTGAAACTTTGCCTATCAACATGAGCTAACTGGGAGCCTGACTCTTCTGCCCATAGCACCCACTCCATCCCCTCCTCCTAGCTTTAATCTTCACATTTGCCATAGTTACTGATGCTTAAGACTATTTACATTTGGACTATAGCTTCTGTTTAAACAATATTTTCAAATGCATCCCCTTATTTAAGCCTTACAACACTCTGAGTTTATCATCCCCTTCAAATCCTCTTTAACAGGTAGGGAAACTATTGAATATCACCAGAGAGGTTAAGGGATTTACTGATTCTAGACGCCTGCTTTATTCTCGGACACATTTGTTGTTATCATCTTTGTCTTATGGATAAGAAAATCACCATGAGATTAAGAGATTTACCCAAGGACACTCAGCTAGTGACCTCAATTTGAACCCAAATTTTCTGGCTCCATAGATCATACTTTATTTACTGTAGTATTCTGCTTCTACATTAGCTCTTCATCGAGCAAATTTAGTTTTTGAATGCTCTGCTTTCTAGCTAGCAAAGCTAAATTCATTTCTTCTGTGTTGTTAGATGTGGCATTGGTGGGAGATATGCTTCTGATCGCCATACCTAAAACTCAGTGTTATAAGTTCATAAATAAAAGTCTAAGTTTAAAGTTTATTTTATTCATGATTGCAAGCATGTACATGAACATGAGAGAGGGGAGGGAGGCACCCTTGGTAGGATTTCATCACACTGCTCTTCCTTCTCCTAGCCCTCCAGCTTATTAGGATCTTGGGTGAGTGCCCAGTATATTTCAAGTCCATCACACCAGAGATTCAAACCCTTGGTCAGCCTTGTAGCTTCTGGCACCGCATTTCATTATGCTACTCCCTGTACTACCAAGACTCACCAATGAAAGTCAGAGTTTGAAGTACTATGTACACAGTTTTTTTTTTTTTAAAGAATTATTTATTTTTAATTTTATTTATTCATTTATTTAAAAACTTTTTTTGACTAGACACACAGAGAGAGAGAGAAAGAGAGAGAGAGAGCAAGCGAGCCACCAAGTCCAGGACTGTGGTTGGCCATGTGGGAGCGTCCATTGCCTTAACCACCACACCATCTGTTGGTTCCCCTTTATTTTTAATTTAATTTATTCATTCATTTAAAAAATTTTATATACACAGTTAACAAATATTTATTCAGGACCAAATGGCGGCCTAGTGGTTAAGGCAGCTGAATCCCCCGTGACTGACTGCGTGATATGAGTCTCTGACACAGGGACTTGAAAAATACTTCAGACACCCATGTGTGCATGCCCCAAACCTAGAAATGGGGGCAAAATGGAGGAGAAGGGGTTGTGGCATGGCCATTCCATACCTTTCTCTTTTTTCCTCTTTCTCTCTCCAGTGAGTGCATGTACCCTCTGACAAATGACAAAAAAAGAAACAAAAAAAAGCAAACATTTACTCAACATTTAAGTAAGTACTAGTGAAGTAATATGAAGATCATAGTGTGTATTGGTTAAAAAGAAAGTAAATACGAAATGGAGTAAGCTTCCTGGTAGGTAACTTATAGCACTATACCAGGACCATAACAGAGTGCTGTGAAAGCACCAAAAAGGGACTAATTCAGTTGTGATATAAAGGAAGACTTTTTAGATGCCTTGTCTTTTGAGCTGGGTTTTGAAGAATGACAAGATTACAAAGATTTAAGACAGGACAGGGTATAGCATGTGCCAAGGCACAGAGTGGGAAAGAGCAGCATGTACGTTGAGAGAATGGGAGATGATTTCACCTACGGTGCAGGATGAACTATGGCAGGAGGAGAAACTGACTGGAGAGGTAGGTGGTCAGTGGTCAGACTGTAAAAGGCTTTGCATGTCTTGCTATGGAGTTTGGATTTTACCTTGAAACATCAGAAGCAATAAAAGTTTTTCTTTTAGAGAGAGATTTTTCTTATGGGCACATGTGTTTATGTGCACACAAGAGAGAGACAGAAAGTGAGAAATCACCCCGCCCCCCCCCCCGGGGAGGATGGCCATACTTACTCCAATCCCTTCTCCTCTATTCTTCTCTTGGGATTTTGTGCATGCACACACACTCACCCAGCATGAATTTTAAGCCACTGGGTCTGGGACTCAAACTGGAGTCAAGTACATGGGAGTCCATCAACATAACCATTATGCTATCTGCTGATCCCAGCAGTAAATATTTTTA